ATATAACATGTAGTCACCTATCTGTGTTGTCGTCTATTATAACCCGATACTGTATAATATGTAGTCACCTATTTGTGTTGTCGTCTATCATAACCTGATAAATTATAATATGTAGTCACCTATCTGTGTTGTCGTCTATTATAACCCGATACTCTATAATATGTAGTCACCTATCTGTGTTGTCGTCTTTTATAACACGATACTTTATAATATGAAGTCACCTATCTGCCTCCGACAATATGTTGAAACTTTTAGTCACCTGTCATCACCAAATACGTTATCGTATGTGTAGTCATATATTAGTGCATTATATTGTGCATTTAAGTGTATAGTTTATATTTCAAAATGTCGTGGTTTCTGTATCTTTGCTATCGGTCAATCAGCCACCAATGATGGTAGTAATTGTAAACCCTTAATGTATTCTCACAGTTATATACACACCAACTCGGTAGATTGAGGTCTGACACTTTTTATTAATGAATGTTTGTTGATTTAAATCAGGCTTCGAAAGAAATTATTTGGTGGATATGCAGGTATAAGCCCTACTGAACAAAACATTAAAGACAATGTATATTATTTGACATCAGCCGCTTTCTTCGCTGACGTTTTACTAACAACGTCACCATTAGGGTCAGCATACTAGCGAGTCGTTCGATAGGCATGACGATTTTGATGTTTCAATCGTGCAATTTCCCTTTGATAGTAACATCCCTGCTCACCTGGCATACGAAACTAATTTGTCGCAGTGTATTCCGTATTAAAGAGCGTGCTCCAAATATCAGGATTTGATTAGATGAAGACCCCCGACAAAGAAGGTTACAGTACGGGTGTATTAGATGAAGACCCCCGACAAACAAGCTTACAGTACGGGTTTATTAGATGAAGACCCCCGACAAACAAGCTTACAGTACGGGTTTATTAGATGAAGACCCCCGACAAACAAGCTTACAGTACGGGTTTATTAGATGAAAACCCCCCGACAAAGAAGCTTACAGTACGGGTTTATTAGATGAAGACCCCCCGACAAAGAAGCTTACAGTACGGGTTTATAAGATGAAGACCCCCGATAAACAAGCTTACAGTACTGGGTTTCCAGAGATGAAGGTTGATGAAGAATGTCGACATCTTCTATCGGCGCCATCACGATCTCAGGCGGAAAAAGGATGTTCGTGTATACGACATGTCGATTTCTGTCCTTATATTCATAGATCGAGTTGTTTGTTAGTGGCACTTCACTATCTGGACGCGACATAACTTGGAAGTAGATTTACATGGAATTGTCGTCGATAAACAAGAACACACTTATCCTTCAGTAACATTTGGTCGGATTCTCTTTTTGTTTATTTTTAAGGTTCCGTGAAAATATTTCATCTGTTCATATTTCGCATTAGTTTTTATCGATTTGGAAACCAATTACTGCACAATTGACACTAGGCAAGTTTTTTCGAAAGAAAAAAATATAAAATTCCTATCAGTGTGCTTCAAAGATCTGTAACAAATTAATATCTAATTGCTAAAATATTCAGCCTTTTTCTCATGAATTAGAGAACTTAATTGAAGTATAACAAACGTAAAACGAAACGTGTTGTAGGGGTAGGTAAAGATGGAAATTGATACCGTCTAATAATCCCTAAAGCGTGCTTTAAGTATCATAAGTTCAATAACTGACATTATCTTTGAAACTGCAGTATTTTTAAATCAAGGTACATACTCGTCTTTGTTCTCAGTTCTGTTACATCAAGAACTGAAAGACCAGTGATGTGACATTATCTTAAATAACTCAAAACTGTTACATCAAAGACGAACCTCAGCTGAAATAACTCAGTACAATTACATCGAGGCCTAAAGTATATTCAATAACTAAGTATTGCTACGTTAGTGACTGGCATTATCTTAAATTACATTACTTAAAACTGTCAGCAAAAAGACTGGCGTTATCTTCAAAACAACAGAACTGTTAAATCAAGGACTGACATAATCTTAAATAACTCAATGCTGTTACTTCAATAACTAATATTATCTTAAATAACAAATCGCATTTACGTCAATAACTAATCAAGAATCATCAATATTGTCATTTCTGTTAGGGCATTTTTTTGCTTTTCAATATTTTAACAGTTTTTTTGTATAAAGATACCTTCAGTAGTTATAATTTACTTACATACCCTCAGTACGCCGTTTTAAATCGTATGCATACACAAAATACGTTATTACAAAAAAACACTCTATATCACATATACATATAATTAACAGATATAAACGTTAATAATATATACATATAATACTTAGTTATAAAATCAGTTATTAAATCTTCATGGAACATAATACAATAAACAGGTATACGATCAATGCCTGTCTTTTTTCTGTGTACCAATTGTTAAGATGAACAAAATATTTAAAAGAATAAATATTAATAACATCTACGACCTTTGAAGATCAGGCGACACACTTGACACTTAGGCTAAAACGCAATCGCAGTACACTATTCTTCTATTGTGAGGTGTTTTATAGCATTCCTTATCCACCAAAACATATATATTTAAAATATTAAGTTCTTATTTTAAAGACTCACATCGTTGATGTTTTGTTGGTCGTCAAATTTTATTTGATCAATATATATATATATAATCCCTTAACACACGTGATAATTTCTGATAAATGTGAGCATTTAACGCTTGATTTGATACCATAACGTATGTTGATCAAGAGAATGTCTGTGAAAGTTTTACCCTGTTCGAGTCTGACGACTTTGTATCGAGTTTTGATTGTTCCCGGGGGTCCCGTCCCCCCAACCGACACGGCCAGCTCCACCTTGATTGTTTCCGGGGGTCCACCCCACACGGCCAGCTCCAGCTTGAGTGTTCCCGACCCCTTGGTTCATGCTATTTGGATTATTAGCTCGGGCAGCGTTCTGTGTCATCATTCGCCTTTGGTGTTCCTGCATCATCCTTATATGCTGTTGTTGGCGTAGCTTCGCTTGTTCCACAAGAGCAGGCCGATTTCGAAGGAATTCCTGATGGCCGGTTTTATTAAAAAACATTCTGAATTCCTTGTCAAAATAAAGAGGCAAACTGTCTTGTAAGGAAAATGAAAATTTACCAGATGGATCGTCTTGATTTCTAAAACGTGTTTGAATAGGGAACTCTAATGACACTCTCTCATCTAAGTGTTTCATTATATCCACATGTTCTCGCATGTATTTGTCGGTACCCTGAAACATTAAATGATAAATTATTCTTAAATGTAAACAAACTGCATACCTTCACCAATAGTTTGTATCAGTTATTCGGCAAAACGTCAAATCAAGATCACCAAAATTTGAACGTATTGTGTCTATATATGTTCCGATAATTTTTGGAATTCATTTACGAGACAAAAATTTATGAACATTCATTATCAGCACTGGTTAATATCGGACAGATGATTAAATCTTATTATTATGTTGTTTTTTTTTAATGATGCAATCATTACTTACATTTTTAAAGACGACCTCGCTTCTACTAAACCTTGTCGAGTCCTTGTTTCTGAAATGAACATATTTCAGAATAATAACAAGGTATTACATACACGCTTCAATAGATAGTTTACACATACAAAACTGTGAAAAAAAGGTACAGTAACAACGATTGCAGCTTAGGTGATCAAGTAACATAGAATTTAAATGTATACAGTCGAAATTGTTGTCATTAGCTACTGGGAGGGACACGGACAAACTTGTATTTGATACAGCTACTGTGGTTATGGATACATATTCATCACCACTATATACATATTTCTCAATCTCATATGTATTCCAAAACAGCTTGACGTTTTTGTTTTAAATAAGGCAAAGGAAGATATGAAATTGAATAAAGTACCTTGTTCTGAATTGTGCAAGCGCTCCATCGTACACCCCTTTGTCTACAATGTCTGCAAAAGCTGGCATCTGGTCTGTTTTAATTTGAGCAACGAACCCCGGATACTCAGTCTTTGCCATCACTTCTGTTTTCATGTCTAATGGATCAGTAGTCACTTTCCTCATACTGTTAACAATTTAACAAAAAACAAACAGGTTCAGTCTTAAGTATCTTTCAAAACCTGAGCCAGTTTAACGGGCATACCTTACAAACGATAAAGTATGATACATTTTCCTTTCAGGGTAATTGTATGTATTACATACACATGTCCATAGCATATAAATATATTTACAACGATTCTTAGCTATTTTATGAAATCAAATGTATTTGTTAAATCGTCCCTGGAACGACTTATAATTTTACTCGATCTAGGAAAGCAACGATGAATTAGTTCTAGACCTTTGTTACATCTATACTTACATTACTCCAGGGGGAGCCATGTAATACTGTACTTTGTTCTTGTCCAACTTTGGCAGTATCTTTTTACCTAGAATGGTTTTGAATTTCATGAAATCCTGAACTTCCTGAATCTGTGCTGCCGTTATATTCATTATTGGTCTTTTTACAGTGTTTTCCCAGCTAGCGCGATGCCAAGCTCTCTCCGCGAATGCAATTAATCGTGGGAAGAGAAGTTGGAAGAGGGCAGTTCCACTCAGGACTTTTCTAGTTGATATTGTGGCTTGCATACCTGTGCATAAAAAAATTGGATTACATAGGAATCATGGTTTTTTTTTACAGGAACACGATTGTTTCATAATCAATTGAATATAAACAACGTATGTTTAGTAACAACGCAACGTTAAAGTAAAAATAGGTAATGGAACATAATTGAAAGTATATGAAAGTAGGGTCTTATAAGCTGTAAAATGGTTACCTGACATGCTTATCAAAAGTACGAATGCTGAATTGCATACCATATTGCTGGGTTTGAATAATAGAATTATTACCATAGTGATTTTATTGCAGAAAATAATGCCTATATTGATAAAAAAAATATATTGCATTATCACTAAACACACAAACACTTGTGTGTTACCTTAAAACATACTGTACAATAATAATTATCTTATCTGTTTACAAACAAACATCAGTGAATTATCATTCTACAAAAAACACTGACTAGTGCATTATCATTAAACATACAAAAAAATGTGTATAATCATTAGTGTATTGTCATTAATCACACACACATTAGTGTTTTATCATTAAAAATACAAAAATGGTGTTTAATCATTAGTGTATTGCCATTAATCACACACACATTAGTGTTTTATCATTAAACATACAAACATTATTGTCTTATCGTTCTACACACAAACTTGTGTATTGACATTAATCACACACACATTAGTGCGTTATCATTAAACATACCAACATTATTGTCTTATCGTTCTAACCACAAACTTGTGTATTGTCATTAATCACACACACATTAGTTCGTTATCATTAAACATACAAACATTATTGTCTTATCGTTCTAAACACTAACTTGTGTTTTGTCATTAATCCCACACACATTAGTGCGTTATCATTAAACATACGAACACTATTGTCTTATCGTTCTAAACACAAACTTGTGTATTGTCATTAATCATACAAACATTAGTGCGTTATCATTAAACATATAAACACTATTGTCTTATCGTTCTACACACAAACTTGTGTATTGTCATTAAT